AAAAAAAAAAAAAAAAAACAAACAAACAAACAAACAAACATAACTCCCTCCCACGAAAGAAACGCGGAAAGACGGTAGTCTTCTGTCGCAAGTATCGCGGTTACGATCGTGCCTGTTTCTCGGCGAAATCCTCGCCACCGCCGACTGTTTCGATCCGTCACCGTACTAAGGGCGAACGTTACCTCTCCCCCTGCCCTCCGCTCCGAGAATATTTTACGATAATTCGGGGCGAAGATTCGAGTTGGAAAAGAATCGGAAGGAGGTCGAAGGATACGAGTTCGTCAGACTATAGATAGTCGGTGAGCGGAGATCGTTTTGGCGGGCACCGGTGGTGGCGCTGCCAAGGTTGGCGGAGCCGAGGGGAAAAGAGCATTGGCGTACCAACTACCAGGTTGTGCCCGCCTACCAGGCGGAGCCCGCATGATCTATAGCGTCATAGAACACCCCTGCCGTTGTGGTAGGAACTCGATGGCGACGCCCACGGTGTGGAACGTGCGCGCTGCCCCCGCCGCCTCCGCCGCCACCGCCGCCAACGTCGCCGCCACCACCTCCACCACCACCACCACCAGCATCACCACCACCACCACCTCCACCACTACTACCACTACCACCACCGCCGCCGCCACTGGGATGTTTATGCTCCTGCCGCTGTGTCTCTATCTAGTCGCGGTCCTGGCGCTGCGCTGTTCTTCTTCTGCCGTTCCTGCTACCGATGCTGCTGCCGTCGTAGCTGCCGTCGTTGCTGCCGTTGCAGCCACCGCCACCGTCACCGCTGCCACTACCATTGTCGGTCGCCCGTTGCCGTTCCTCGTTCCCGTTTTCCATCGTGCCCCCCGTCCTCGCTGTCCTCTTCCTATCTCCGATTTATCCCTTCGCCCCCCCCCCTACTTCTCTCCACCTTTCGTTCATTACCGCTAAACATTCCTGTCAATTAAAACTGCGCCCCGATTTACTGCCAATTCAATCGCGTTCGTCCTTCGAACCTCCCTCTTCGACTACCTCCTTTTTTGCAAATATCTTTCTCGCAACGAGCACCTCTCGCCAACAGCGAAAACCGTTTCTTTTTACCTCTTTTCCTTTTCCACTTGTCCTTCTGCAGATGGAAAATTTCGTTCTTGGTCGTTTGACGAGTGTCGAACGAGTGTCGGACGAAGAGACTGGTCTTTCGTCGCTTTCGGCAGCGATCCTTTCTTCACCGCGTCGAACTCATCCGTAGCCTCGCGGTGTCTGTCGAACAATAGATTCTCCGCAGTGGCCAAGGCACGAAGTCGAGCAATTATGCAGCCCGGTGCACGAATCTCGGCCATCACCTACGGAATTTTTCACGCGATACGTGTACATATGTATTCCGTAGTATGTACACATGTACGTACGTTCGAAGCCCACCTAAAATTACAAGTCCAATTTGCCACTCTCATCCACACTTTCCAATAATCCCATCGAGCTCACAAAAGTAAAACGATCGATCTTCGAAGCGACTCTACGAAAAATTTCGAGATTCTGGCTTCCGTGGAACTTTCTTCGTTCCTTCGCACGGTTCGATTTTCCTGGCCTTCGTATCGTCGCTACGTTTCTTTGTATCGGGGAGAATTTCCTCAAGAAGCCCGGGGGATATTCGTGGCAATTGTCACGCCCGAGTTTTACGCCAATGGTGTTAGGGATTCGGTACGGCGGCGGCGGCGGCGGCGGCGGCGACTGTCATAAAAAGTATTTTATTTCGACGATCGCGGTGCCGTTTTTGTTCTGGGGTTGCGAAGCGATCGTGTCGTTTCTACGCGCGTCAGACCAATTCAACGCCGCCGACATTCGCGGCCCGACGTTTACGAGATCGTTTATTAGGTGACGTTTCCATCGAGTAGTTTCGTTGCGAGCTGAATCCTTTTTCTTTATTCCAGCATTCCCCCCCGCCGTTAAAAGAGATTCCAGCTTGTCGCGATACGTTGTCCTATAGATTTCCCCGCTATTTACGAACGTAAACGCCCTAAAATTAACCTCTTCGATTCACGTCGTTGACGCAAGGAATACCTACGTTTTCTGTTCTCACGTTTTACGATGAAATTCATTCATCGTTGTCAATGGTTTAACTATCATTGGTTGTTTTACGATCAACCGCATCGATTCTAATCAACCTCCTTAATAGGCTGTTACGAAAATCTTGAAAGAAACGAAGATTTTACATATTTTGTACGCTTAAGCTTATTGATCAATTAACATTTACAAAATCACAAAGTACAATTGCCAAATGAATGTTATTGTTATAATTATAATATAGATTTTCATGAGATCATGTTTCTGATTTATTAGCATAATATTTTTTGAATTAACGCAGGGAGCGTTTTAGAAATGGACTAACTTTAATTCACAAATTAAGATACGTGAAATGGCTAGTCTTCCTTTGTTTTGTTACATTTAAAATTTTTAAAACTATATATTGTTTATACATATATACGTACATGGATGTACATTCTTTGCACGAACTTGAGCGAACAGTTACTCTTCGTACAATTTCATGCAGAAAGATTAACCTTCTATAATTAAAATTTCGTTTACTTAGGAAGAGACCATCGACGACTAATTCAAATCAAAGAATTAATGATTTCGATAAATGTGTAACAATTATAATAATTGCAATATACTGATACGTTTCTAACGATAGGAACGGCAAATAAAAAAAGATAAAGTAAAATTTTCAAAATACGAATGCACCTACATACGGACACGTAACCTACAAGTTGCGAAAAGTTTACAAACAGAGTGAAAAATCGTCGACATAATTTTATACAATGTACACAGGTACACAACTTCGTACACTTCATATTTACGTACGTACCGACAGTCGTTTCGTTTTGTAAATCAAATTCTCCGAACGGTTAACGAAAAACCGAGCAGCCCGTACGTTCGCTTTATTATTACAATATTGTTTATTGACAGAGTTGGACTCGGGGTCTATCGTTAAGATCATTTTCGTTAATGGAAACAGAAGAAGGCAGTCGTAAATTCGACAGTCAGAAGAACGACGTTTCACGCGCGTGGTAAGTGTCAGTTGCGTTTGTGTCTCTCGGTGACTGCAGGGGTTCCATTTACGAGCGTTCCAGTCGTCGGTGGACGAGACCAAAAGCACTAAACTTGCGAATATTTCGAAAGACGTCCCGTTATGCAACGACAATGTGGGTCAGTGCACAACGTCCGCCGTGAACGTTTGCTCATTTTGTACAGTCAGTTCACCCGCGGGACCCGAAATAAGTGCACCTCGTAAAATAAAGTACCGTATACACCGCTTTTCCCGGCTATCTGCGTGGCCCACTATCGTCGATCTTCTGACATACTGTCACACGCTGGATTTTACTTACGGATTCGGCGAATGATACGCGCAAGCTCGATTTGTTCGGGTGTTGATCGGTCGATCGACGTAATTCTGAAATTGTCGAGATTATAGGAATGACCGATTCGTCGTGTAATTTCATAGAAATTTGATACTGGAAATACCCGCGCTGTAATTCTGAGAGATTCGAATGATTTTTCGTGCTCTTTGTCGCATTATTAACTTTCCTCTGTCCCCTGCACTTTCATTTCTCTGACGCAAGTTTTAAAGTATAACTTATTTAGTGGTTGATGGCTTTGATGTCATAGCCCGTTCGTTACAACAGCAGATTGGAACGAATCAACTATCATCAAATGAAATTGTACGATATGTTTAATGATGTTGTATATTGTTTTTATAAACGTTGATTGTTTGAGATTTGCTTCATTGGCCAAACGTGTTATTTCGCGGGTTAAAATTAACTTTAAATCGATCTCGAAACGTTTACATTGCCGATCGTAATCTGTTAGGACATTCGAAAATTCAGTGCATTGTATTTTAATTTATTATAAATCTACTGTTTCATTCGCAACGCGTGTGCTTTGTAATATAAATAAAATATTTAGTAACTCTCGGGCTGCGGAGAAAAAGTTATTTCGATTCGTCGAAGAAGAATAATCGTACAGTTGTAAAAATATTTGCAAATTTGTGTTTTTCCTAAATTATTACATAACTTGGAAGGTTAAGATATTCGATAAAACAAAAATTTAATAAAAAAAAAAGTACTTCTCCGTAGAAGAAGAATACCTATATTATTGAATCCAATCGGATTTGACTATTCGCTTTCTAAGAAATAAAATAAAATTAATTGATATTTATCAATGAATGTGTGCGAAGCTAATAACATTTTGTTACGATCTTTATAAAGATTAGTAGATGTAATAAATTGTAGCTGTGATCTTGATAGTCGAAACATTACAGAGTAGAAAAATTTAATTGAATCAATAGAAAACTACAAATAGAAAAATGCTGAATCGTATTATGAAAAATTCCATTTCTATTCTTTTCTAGAGTATTTAGAATTTAAAGATTCGTTCCTTTTATCTTGACAACTCATGAACGTAGGATTTTATGTTGAATAAGTCTAATATGTAATATTTAAATACAGAGCTTTCGAATTTTGAATAATTATAAATAGAATTAAGTTGAACATAGCGTGAGAATTTTCTATTTATAATATTCGCGATTGTATTTGACGATCGCACGTAAGAGTGAATATACAAAATGTGCTGTTTCCTTTACTGATATGTATACACTAAAAAATCTTTCGACTATTGACTAAACTATTTAAGAAAGTTTATACTAAAGAACACGAGCTGTCATTTGCACGTGTTACAAAAAGTTATTCGAATCTCTAAAAATTCTCCGTTGCAAGTTGTCCTTTTACCTAATTTCCTTTCGCAAAAAGTTACGAATCGCTCTGATAGTTTCAATATCAACATCCTTCCTTCAAGTATTGCCTAATTTTTTTCAATTTTGAGACAAACGTAACACTCCGTTCCGAGACGAGTGCAAGTAGAAACCTGGTACCTACCTATTTTCTTAAACCTGCGAGAAAGTCACACGCGCCATGTGTCAACATCACGATCGGCTTTCCACATTTTTCTTTCGCCGAATTATTCCATCTCACCGACGAACGAGTTCCATCGATTAATCGCGTTTCGTTATCACTTCTCGAATTAATGTCGTTAAAAATGTTCGATGAAAAAGGCGGCGAGAGGGGGACGAGTAAGCCAAACGGTACCCTTTAGCTCTCGGGACACGACCTCGACGTTTTCTCTTCTTTTATCGGATTACCTCCGAAAACAAAGGTAGAAGGTACATTTCCGGTTTCCCTTGAAAACTCGGTTTTCACGCGTAGATCAGCCGGCCAGGAATAAAACGTTTAAGAGAGGACACGTACAGGTACAGGAGGAGAAATACGTCGGCGAAGAAAAGAAAAAAAAGAGCGAGAGAGAGAGAGAGAGAGGAAAAGAAAGAGAAAAGAAACGTACACAAGAATCGAAGGGACGACATCCTGTCTTGCTCGAAGACACTACGAGTCAAGACCCGTTTCGAAACGACGTAATCTTTGCAAGTTTCGAAAATAACTCGGGCAACAGACGATTAGAATTCGGCTGCGATTAGACGCCGAGGTTGATCCACTTGACCGGGGCCAGTCGTGCTGCTTGTTTGAAGATACATTTCTTCGGTGTTTTAACGCGAGAGAAATCACAGACGGAGCCACCCCGCTGTTCGTCGAATCGCGCGGATCTGTTTTCGAGAGGTTCTGCGTTTTTTCACGGGCGAGCCCGAAGTCCAGCGGATTCCGCGGATGACTCGCCGATGCATCATCCCGCGAATAATAGAGCGAACGATAGCGATCAGGCGTACCGATACCGACTCAAGCGTCCAAGTATCAACGTACCAAGCAGAACAGAGCAGAGCAGAGCAGAGCAGAGCAGAGCAGAGGCCGAGCCCGGGC